CAGACAGACAGATAGATAGATAGATAGATAGATAGATAGATAGATAGATAGATAGATAGATAGATAGATAGAAGCCTGTCTTTAATATACAGGAAAATAGGGACACAAACAATTGACATCCTAAGAGCGAGACACTGTAAAAGGCTAAATGAAAAATGAACAGTGAGTGCAAGGAGGAACACACACACTCATATGAAGCCCTCATAGGGAGATTTTCATAAATGTAGAGCTATCCACACAGGTGCCCGTGCTATTATTGGCACAGGATCAGCATGCAGGAGAGTGGGTGAGAAAAGAGGAGGAGGGAGAGAAAGAGAGAGAGACATGCATGGGGGAATGGTGTCATACAGTGAGTTGTCAGCTGTCATCATTCTCCAGTGCCACCTGAGACATTCAGTGCCACACCCTGCCCCTCCCCTCACCGTACCCATGGTTACCCTTCAGTGCCAGGATCTGACTGGCTGGTGAGGGAGCCCTAGTGTTGGGTTCCTTAGGGCTCTGTGTGGGTTGCTAGGTCCACTTGCAGTTTTGCTGCATCTCAGCACTTAATTGATTAATTAGTGTAATTATTTGAGGTGAAAGTCACCCCCATCTTGTCGCCGGTTGGTAGGTAATTCATTCCATCCTCTGAGACTTTAATGTTAATGCAGGTAAAGTGGAAAAAGTAGCATGTACCGAACTCGCCTGGTTACATTAGAAGAATCGTTCAAGCTGATGTTATTTATTAAGGTGTTGCTCGAGTTTTTGGTAAATCATTCAAATGTATGTGTTGCCAAGCGGCAACACTGTGCAATAGTGGAATGACATTATTACAATAGTTTAGCTAGCTAGCAAGGTCAGCTGCAATTTGTTAAGCTGTAACAATAACAACATTAATACTAGTGAAATAATGTAGATTAGTCGTATGTTAATGGCATTTGTATTATGGATATAATCAAATTGAAATGGCAATTTTACTTTTGATTAAATATGAATACAGGTAACATTACATCAGTGAGCATGGCAATATTCTATGGCAAGGTAAAGAAGAAAAGGCCAGAACTTGCTCTTCCTGCACATGAAACAACTGCTTTGTGAAGTTTCATACATAAAAAAGGTGATCTTTCAAGGATTATTGGGGGGGGGGCTCATGTTCATAAAGGTGACAATTATAAGTAAGTACTGTATTAAAGCTTATAATAGCACCAGTTGAATCAACACAAACAACATTTCTGAGGAAAAATATTAATTATAAGTAAGCTTACACTTATTCTAAGTTAGATCCACTATTGTATGCTGTTGCCATATGGCAACATATCATATTTTTTTCCAATTATTTTTTTACAGCACTTCAAGTTAAGCCATTCTTAGAAAAGAAAACGATTCAAATATTTTTTTCTATAGGTCTATCATAATGCGTGCGGTAGATATGTTTAATTCAAAGTATGTACTTTTGTGCTGCATTGATAAAGAGCTTGACTCCTTATCCTCACAGAGCCCTGCAATGGATGTGTGTAAACTGTAATACGCACACATACTTTCTCCCTAACTGCAAGGTTATCTCACACCTGGAGGCAACTCTCATGCTCTGCGAGACTGCAGTGATATAGCAGTGGCGTATGTGTCTATGTTTGTGTGTTATCATGCATGACTCGACTATTTGGTCACGTTCCCCACTGCCATTGCTGAGGGCAAGATCTCATTTCACCCTGCCAGACTATTGCAACACTGTATTTCTCTCTCTCTCTACATGAAAAGCGCTATACAAATAAACTTGATTTGAATTTAATTGAATGATTTCTGGTAAATTCAATGTAGGTGAATGTGTACGTGTGTGTGCGTGTGTATGATATGGGAACTCTAGCTTAGAGGACAGATGGAGACTGGGAGACAGGAGGGACACTGGCACTGCACAGCCTGGCATAAGAGTGAGTGTGCGAGTGTAAGGAGGTGTATGGATAGCCCTCGCTGTTGCTGGGCGGCCAGCCCCACTCACGAGCGGTGACCTTGGCACTGAGTGGGAGGGTCAGTCAGCCAACTGTCTGTATCGCCGTGTGCCCGTCTGTGCGCTGCTTTTTAAAGCAGTCAGGTCAACAGGCCGGCCACTGGGACATCCATTTGGCACTTACATTCTTATTTAGGTTAGCAATATGCCGGCCGCTACTTCTGCTGTTACTGCAGATGTTAAGTTAAGAACTCATGTTCCACCTGTAATGTCACGCGCCCCCTCTCTGCCACAGCACCTACGTTGACTATGCTCTTTTCTAAGCGCAATATAGTCTGTAAAGAAATGTTGACGGAAACTAAAGCCATTGCAGTCTTACATGGTACAAGTGTGCGCATTATAGTAAGGATATAGACTGGATCCAAAATTAACATGTTAAAGGCCAATTAAAAATTTATAAGGTTCTGCAATGTAATACAAGTCAAAATGTAACAGAGATATACAACTTATCACAGATATAAGTGTTAAGAATGATTTTGAAGAAAATGTAAAATCAGAAATGAAATAAATCCATATGACGTCATGTGGAGTATTCCTCTTTTTATACTATCAAACTGTAAGGAACATCAAAATATAATGAATAAAATCACGACGTGGCTTCACCTTTTTTTTTTTTCTTGGGAAATCGGGACTGGCTCATGAATGATGTATAATCATATGTCATACCAAAAAGACCAGCACTGTCATGGGCTGTTCCTTGTGAGACTAAAACCAGCAACCAGCAACAGCAAGTGGTTGCCAACTCTGACCTTTACTCACTGCACTTTACCATCATATAAATACAGTAAATAGTGGATAGACAGAGAGATAGATAGATGGATGGAATCAGGTCTCACCTGCTTTGACACGGATGCTAGGGCTGCGGATCTTGCCGGCCTGGTTCTCGGCAGTGCAGAAGTAGTCATTATCATGAATGAAGCTGTTGAAGGCAGAGGGGGAGAAGGGGTAGAGCTGCAGCGTGCCATTGGCGTGAACATGGCGGATGTGTGGCACGTCGTAGATGTCGTCGCCGGTGGCCAGGTACCAGCGTAGGACGGCATGGGGGGCGCCACCCGCAGGACAGGGCAGGGACACCCCCACTGAGCTGGAGAAGGTCACTCTCTGCAGGGAAGCATTCACAAAGTACAGCCGCGTCGAGACCACATCCTCGCTGTGCACTGGAAGAGAGACAACATGGTCAGTCTCGAAGTGACCAAAGAGTTTTATTCTTCAAATAACACACCTGGACAGGTAAAGGGGCCAATGCATACTTGTTCCTTTGGGTTACTGTACTTTGAAATCATAAAAGAAGCACTGAGTGTCATTCTGGCAAACTTCCACCTCACATTCACGTCTGGTAAAGTGCATGCCATGCTCTGATTGGATTATCCCAGAGACATTCCCCCTGGGTCAGCACAACTCAATTCAAATTTAGAAATCAATCACTTGTTTGCGAAGATGATGTAACCACAAATGGTCTTTTATCTTATTATTTGTCTGTCATTTTCCAAGTGCACAATCTACATGGAAAAGCTAAGGTCAGCTTGTCACTACTGTAGCTAGTCACAACAGTTTCCCAAAGCTGCACTTACTTTGTCACACATTCGGCATTCTGAACAAGTTGGTTCAACATATTTGATTATGTCACAACTGATACTTAATTATGATGAATCGTTGGAGAATTTAACTACTGTAGCTAGTCACAACTGTTTCCCAAAGTCGTAGTTACTTTGTTGCATGTCCATCGTTCGGAACAAGTTGGTTCGACATATTTGATGTTGATGTCACAGCTAATGTCACGACTGATGCTTAACTACCATAGTATGATGCATTGTTGGAGAAATTAAATACTGTAGCTAGGCCTAACTTTTTTCTAAAGAAACAGTTATTTTGTCGCATGTCCATCGTTCGAAAAAAGTTGGTTCAACATAATTTTACTTTATTGCACGTCCATCATTCGAACCACGTTGCTTCAGCATATTTAATGTTGATGTCATAACTGGCGTTACTACTGATACTTAACTACCACAGATTGATGCATCATAGAATAAATTAACTACTCTCGTTAGTCATAACTGTTTCCCAAAGTTGCAGTTACTTTGTCACATGTCCATCGTTTGGAAAAAGTTGGTTCAACATATTTGTATTTTGCCACAAGTCCATCATTTGAACCAGACTGGTTCAACATATTTAATGTTGACGTTACAACTGACATCATGACTGATACTTAACTATCACAGTATGATGCATCATTGGAGAAATTAACTACTGTAGCTAGTCATAATTGTTGTAACTTTGTCACACATCTGTTGTTCGAACCACATTGGTTCATAATATTTGTCACAGTTTGCGTCAAACAGGTGGTAGAGTAATAACTTGTGCTAATTAATCGGTGCAAGAATGAAATAATAGCTGTATCATTTCGAAGGCTGCGCCCTCTAGAGTTTGCATTTGTTGGCTGCATTGTTAGCCAACTATGGTTGCAAGTTCTGTCATTAGCACATTCGCACTCTTGAAAAACTGTGTTGACATTCTTTTGATAAACTTAAAGATGTAGAATAAATCTATACCACAGGTCGAGAGCTGTAGTTCCAACCAGACAATTCTTTGATAATGTTTGCAAATGTTAATTGGAACTATGGTTTCAGAAAACACCAAATCATTGAACTATGTTGCTAACAATGGAACTTGCAACCATAGTTGGCTAGGATGCTTTTGTGAAGAATACCCAAGATTCTTAAGCATCTTAGTCAGGTTAGACGCATACTAAATTTAATGCGGATGTAAACAAGGCTGTGAACGACAGACTTGCAGTCTTTGCAATGGCACACACTGCATAAAAGTCCTCACACTTTCGTCAGCTGAGCAATCTATATCTTGTAAACAACAATACAATCCATTTAATGCAGTGTACTTCTAGCCCTCACAGTCTCGTTTTCATTCATGTCAAAAATTAAATATGTCGCTACCCTGACTAAGGTATATAGAATGTTAAAATTACTCCTTGTAAAACAGACAATGCTGCAATTTCCACAAAAGCAAACAAAGAAGTAAATGAACAAAGCCAGATGCAGGAATCAGCAAGGCTTCCAAACAAAAGCCAACTTTGTCCACAGCAAGAGTGGATCTTTACTCGCCATTCACATCTTTTTATATGTATGTTCTTGGCAGATGCTTATAAATCTCTCGATAACAGCACAGTTGTAGGGCAGGCATTAAAGAATATCACTAATCTAATATGTGTGCGGTGTGAGCCGTGCTGAATGCTGCCATCTGATAGGAGAATAAATAGGTCATAGAACCCCCGCTATGTATCTACAAACCTCTCTGACAGCTAATGTGGATCAGACAATAATTCCCTCTTGGTGTATTACCAAATCCAGACTACTGTGAGAAAAGAGAAAAAAAAAGTGGTGGTTTGCGTAAATTAATACACATGCTAATTTAGCAGCATAGCTAATGATGTCCTTCAAAGGCAGCGTTTTAGCGATTTACCATTCTGGCATCTCTATTATCTGCAGGCTCTATTACGGATTACATGGTTTGGGTGTGATGACTCTGTATCTTTTTTGTATTCAGAGAATTGCTTAGCTCAGCTCTGGCTCCGAGCCAAGGGAGACACAAGCCCAAAGCAAGAGAATTTTCTTCTAAGGCAATTACATTTAATTAATGCCCCCCACCTGGTTTATGTCAACAATGCCTGGATTAACCCCCATTCTTGTGATTCTCATTGTGTTCGAAAGAATAATGGTGACATGCTACCATAGCATTAAAGTCAGTGGGGTACCTATAAACTTCCATATACTGATGGACAGCATCGCAATGTATAAACATAAATATGAATTGGAATGTATACCCAATAACATTGAATATTAAAGGAACAGTTCATCTAAAAATGAAAATGCTGCTTGTTTTAAAGCAATGAAAGCCCCATTCACTTTCATTGTAAGGAAAAAAGCAGCTTGGACATTCTATACAATAACTTATTTTGTGCGCCATGCAAAACAGTAATTTAAATGGGTTTTGAAAGACACAGGATGTGCGTACATGATGATATTCTATTAATTTAATGATAATAATAATGTTATTCTTACTTTTGACAGTTATAGGCTACTCAATTTAAAGGCTTACAAAGGACAATGATAATATTTATTTTAATGGAAAAAAAATCATGCAAAATGTAAAACATAAATACATGTAAAGCATAGAATGAAAAACAAGAAAACAGTGATGCTAGAAAATTGAAAGGCTGAGATTAGAGCTAAAGCTTTTACTGGTAAGGTTGGGGTTTGGATTCTTTCTCTCTCCATCCATCACTCTCTCTCCCTCTCTTTTTATATTCCCATAGAACATGACGGGATATGTTATGTAATTGGAATTTATACGCCAGACGCAGAGAGTTAAATCCATATAATCTCCTTTCACATTTAACACACACAGAGACTTCCCGGCCTGATAATCGCAGCACGGTGGAGAGCCTCTATCGCTTCCCCTCTCACTCTGCCCTGTGGGGAGGGCAGATTATGGAGGTGGGTGCGTGCCAGGGGGCAAGGGTCCAGACAGGACCAGGTCTAGAGTGTGCAGAGTGGTAGGTTAGATGGGGGCCTGAAGTGAATGGATGTGCCATCAGGAGTCACAGGTTGCAAGCAAATGAAATAAAATCCTTTTCATTGTTCACACTTTGCATGAAAGCCTGGATTACATTAGAACAAGGTCTGAACTGGCATTTCTCTACCTTTGTTACTCCAAAGTCCACTACAATCAAGGTTATTGTTTAAAAGACTGCCTACATAACTGTGACGTTTCCATTTCTTCGGCAACATTTTTAATAACAAATATTAGGGCAGTTAATACATTTAAATAATTTAAATGATGTGATTATGTGATAATGTCAGAATTTTTAAGAATTATTTGTAGTTAACATTAATACATTGTTCCTATTTAAAAGAAAGAAAACAAAATAAATAGCTGTCACGCTGTTTGTAACTGTTTAAAGGAAACACAGCAAGTGTAAATATATTTTAGGAGTAGAAATGCAAATGTCTTAGATCCAGTTGTGAACTAAATTATGTCAGGTTTTGAGAGGACAAATTAAAATGTTGTCAATTTTGCTTGGTTGTATTCTGCAATCAAATAAACAAATAAATAATTCAGTGCAAGAGCAGTGAATTTGCACTGTAGCATTTAAATTCTTAAATTATTTTATAACAATTTATAACACGTTTAATTATTTTAATAAATTAAACAATTGTTTTATTAATTTATCTTAATTGAAAGTAATTTAATTTATTTATTTTTAAGTAATTTGAGTTCTTTAGCCCTCTTGAAAGTTTACTGAGGTCCCCTACTGGGCCACGACCCCACCCCCCCACACTGTTGAGAACCACTGGACTAGACTGAGCTTTGCTGTGCATGCGAGGTCAGCTCTCAATGTAGTGCCATAGTTGCAATGACAAGTCTAGGATTTGAAGCAAATGTTTAACCCAGGCTTTTGTCTAAATAACCTCTGGGATCCAGCATTAGAGTTAAACAGCAAAGATTCCTGACATGCTCAAAGTGGAACAGTCCCTGGCTGTCGTCAGCCTTAAGTGCTATTTGGGACAAGAGCAGAGTGCACTCTATCCTGGTCTCTGAGCTGTGTCAAATATAATTCCGAGAGCCCTTTTCAGGACCATGGACAGTGACTGAATGGTCCCTAAACATATTTCAGCACTATAGACAGTGCCAATCTCCTCTCCACGGAAATGCAATTTAAAACTAAGCATAAACAAACATTTGTTAATCTGTAATAGCTCCTTTCAAAGATATATATAAAAAAAAACATCTCTCTAAATAGGGGAGTCAAATCATCATCATTCGCGCTCTGACACTGGATGTTACATTATTCTGACTCTCTAGATCTGTTGTTGCCTTGCGCACAGAGTCCGATGTAGATGGACAAGTGGCCCAGGCGCGTCGCGTGGGGCAGGTGCTGCGGAGGCAAAGAGTGTTTGTTCACGCGCTTAACTCACCGGCACACGAGCTCTGAAAGGAGAACAGCGGTCACCTGTCGAAGCGGAACGCGAGAGTGACACGTAGATTCGCCGCCCTGCTCGTGGCGAAAGCAAATATAGACAATAGCGGAAAGGCTGCATGACAACACATCAGTTCACAGTAGATCTGAAGAAAACACAGCAAC